TCTCAATTCTGATGTCTAATTTATATAATATTCCCTAGGGAAGAAACTTCTCAAATTATGTAATGTATTACCATAATTTTTAAATAAACAAGATCTTAAAATATGTAGAGGCTGATAATCTTACTGCATCAAGTATAGCAAAAGCATTCTTAATAATAGTGCCATGGAAGCTCAGACAAATCAATGCAAGCAGATCAATTTTTCTTAGGTCTTTAAATGTTTAAGCCAGCTCCTGGCCTTTGCAATGTCTCTTGGTTATAGGTAATAGCTGGGAATTTCAGGTGAAGGATTACAACTTCTGAGTTAGTTATGCTACCTCAAATGATCCATTGGATGTGGCTGAAAATGCCAGTTTGAAAATGTATTCAAGGGATTAGGAAGGAATACTTCTTTGCCTGAAATCGTGTGGTTTAGCTTTAGTACTTACTATAGTCAGTCCATTTCTTTGAAATATTGAGCTGTCTGACAGCTTAAAATCCTAAATTTCCTTTAAACTTGAGCCTGGCTTTGGAGGAGAAAAGGGTAGTGTATGGGCGGATTTTATGTAAGGCTCTCTGAAGAGAATTTGCTGAAGTGCCTTTGCTGGCAGGGCATTGGGAAGCCTGGCAAGCTGCTTCATCTCAGTCCTCCTTGGGTTTTGTCCTTAGCCTAGATCAGCGTTTAGTCAGATAGTTTACGTCAGGGGCAAAGAAGTCTGTTGTTGGGCCTTGTTAAAGTCATCATTTTCCTTTCATGAAGAAGTATGAAAAAGACCCAAGTGGAATGTCTAGGTTATGTTAAGCCTGTTGGATATTGAGGGGAGAAAAAGCTCTAATGCCCTTAATTATACCCTGACTCCCAGCTCTGTATGTGTGTGTGTGCGTATTTTTTTTCCAAAAGTTTATTTCTTTCATGAGTAAGACAGACAGTGAAAAAGAGGCATACGCAAGACAGAGACAGAAAGATATCCCCACCAAGACACTGTGTAAAGATACAGTGACCCATCCTGAGCTTCAGCCAGGCCAGATCATGGGCACACATGATCCTAGAATGCTGAGATAGATCTCCAGATGCAAACCTTGAGTCTTCCCATATGGATCTACCTTTGAAGAGCCTTTCCTTACCATTGTGCTACCATCAGACTCTTGAATGTGTATATATTTTTCTAAGTTGAGGAACTAGTTTTATAAACATATCTTTAAAATTTTTAAAAAAATATTTTAATTATAATTTCTGCTTGACCTGTAATAGCTGTACAGATTTATGGGAAACAGCATGGTTTTTCAAATCATGTATACATTGCATAATGATAAATCAGGCCAATAAACTCACCAGTCATCTCAAACATTTATCGTTACTTTGTGCACGCTATCAACACCTCGTGATTGAACATCACCTAACTAGATTCCTTTCTTTGTGAATGTAGTCAGGTTCCACATATGTTGTTTTTTTTTTTTTGTAGAGGTTTTCACTATAGGTGCGTGCGCTTGCCAGACAGACAGAGAGAGACAGAGAGACAGAAAGCGAGAAATCACCCCCCAGAGGGGATGGTCACGCCACAATCCCTTTTCCTTCATTCTCCTCTCGGGATCTTGGGCACGCACGCACATGCACCTGGCGTGAGTTTTAAGCCATGGGGTCCGGGACGCGAACCGCGGTCGACTACGTGGGTGTCCAGCGACATAGCCATTGCGCTAACTGCTGGTTCCCAGGTTCCACATATGTTTTAAAAATATGTTATAAGAAAATACTAATACATTACAGAATACTACTTTCATGGGACCAGCAGTTAGCGCAATGGCTATGTCGCTGAACTCCCGTGTAGTTGACCGCGGTTCAAGCCCTGGACCCAGTAGCTTAAACTCACGCCGGGCACATGTGTGTGGAGAGGAGAATTTAGAAGGGATTAAGGTGAGGCCATCCTTTTTGGGGGGCGATTTCTTGCTTTCTGTCTCTCTGTTTCTCTGGCAAGTGCACATGCCCCATAGCAAAAACCTCTCAAAACAAACAAACAAACAAACAAACAAAAAACCCAAAACAAAAGAATACTACTTTTGTGTTAAATGTGAACATCTAAATGAGCACTAGGATTTTAAACAAAGTTAGCAGTTGGCAGTAGATACATACATTTGAGTACTAGATTTCTTGCCTAATTTTGAGCATGTCATTTGTTCTCTTTATTCCTTTATCTGAACATTGGAGGTTATTCTATCTCCCTTAGTAACTCAGAGAACCTGGGATAAGAGTTCTGATACTGTTTATGAAGTAGAAGACCCAGATCACATACAGATTTTTACAAATATTGGCTTGTTGGGAAAGTCATGAGGTATTTTTGCATAGTAAAACAAAAAAATATGTCCTAACTTTCCCAACAACTTAAATATAACTATATTATATCAATAGACCTTTTTGAAGTTGAAAATGTGTCATAATTATCAAAGATACTTAATAAAGAATGACATGCTAGCTAAATGTTGGAGGCATATATTTTTTTTTTTAAATAAGGAAAAAAATAGCTCTTCAAGTGGGGAAGATTAAGGTCTGAGCTTTAGAGAACATCCTGACCTCAGAAGGACAGAGGAGGTAAGGACAAATATTCCAAACAAATGGAATCTGATGTGAAAAAGTTCTAGGTAAGAATGAGTATGGAAGGCTAGCCCTGTCACATAGGAATTAAGGGAGCTGGGTCCCACATGGTCTATTGTGGTTCTTATCCTGGCCATGGCAGCTTGAAAACATACCAGACGCATGTACATGCATGTCCCAAATCCCTGCAGGATGGAGAAATGACGAGATTATGGCATGACCACACCCCTTTGGGGGTACTTTGTCCCTTTCCTCTGCCTCCCTCTCTGTGGCAAAGGAATGTGCTCTCTAGCAATTAAAAAAAGAAAAAAAAATAGAGAATATGGAATGCTCAGGAATTGGAGAGACAGTAATGTTCATTTTAGATTAAATCCTCCCTTTATTATAAGTATAAAAGTAAAAACCTGAAGAGAATGAAAATATTCTGAACTTTTATTCCATAGTAATAAGAAAAGGCTCATACAGATTGCATCCAAATTAATTTAGAATTAGTAGGTTTAGTATTAAATTATGAGGAAACCAAGTACTTCAGGGCTCAGGAGGAAACAAAGTGAAATTACCATCAATTTTCTGGGTTCCCATTACAGAAGATTTCCTGGAGAAAGAGATTTTAGAACAAGGTGGTAAATACAGATACATGGGAAGGATGAAAACAAAAAGAATGCTCCATTGTGGAATTTTAGTTTGAAAGCCAACCCTGTGGATGGTATGACCAAAAGTGAGCTGTAGTTTTTCAACAATCACTCTGAAGGTACAAGGAATGCACATTCATACCGTCTTGAATCATCTTGGTTACATACTCCCTTTGTCTCCAGAGCCAGTTGAAATCCTAGAAGCAAATGTTTGCTATCTATTTTGTGTTCTATACTTTGAAGTTTCCGCCTGTCTAGAAAAATGGACCTTCTGTTTTGTTTGAGATGTCCCATGTTCTCATCCGGGTGCCCCTCTTTAAGGTTTCTTTGTATGTTCTCCCTAAAGGAACTCTGTTTCGAATGAGACTTCCATCATTTCATAGCAGGTTGCTTTTCCTTGCCTTTGCTTTCTGCTGTTTTCTTCCATATTGGAGTGTCTTCTCCTGTTTTCTCAGACAATTGAGCTTAGTCAACTTTTAAAATTAAGGCCTCAGAAATCACTTTACCTCTAACATCCGTGGCTCATTTTTTGTTTTTCATTTTATTATTTCTTATATTTGCTTGCCTTGTACCTTTTCTTGCCAGATTGAGAACATTACGATGGTGCTATGTCTTGTAACCTTCTGCCTCACATTCCTTGATGTCTCTGAAAAGGTAGTTGGCGATGACATAATAGACTCCTGGTGGTTCATATATGTGTGATATAAAGCCTTATGTAGGCTGATGGCGTTTAATTCTGTATTTTGTTCTTTTTTTAATGAAAAATCACAGTTAAGTTAATGTGTAGAACACCCTGAACATGAAAATTGGAGCTGAGTACATGTACAGAAACCACTAGAATATAAACTTTATATCAGGAAGATTTTTTTTGTTATTTGTGCATTGTTTCAGCCCTATGTCTCCAACACTAAGAACAAGCCCAAATACAGCACTCAGTACCTATGTAGAGGTTTCAAAAAAGTTTATGGAAAAATATAACTTTAAGTTTATTTTGGTGCAAAGAAATTTGAAGTCATAATACATATTTTCCATGAATGTTTTAAAGGTTTCTTATATTTGTTGGATGAGTGCTGATGTAACTTATTTCAGCTACTACAGGTTTTAATAGGTACTTTTAAGTATCCAGCAAGAGACTTGAAGAATAATATCTCAGAAAACAAGGTCATTAAATGTCTTCTCAGTTGTTGAAGGATAACATCCCAACATCTTATCGTTTTCTCACAGGAAATAAAAATTTATTTTTTGCCTTTTTTTTTTTTTTTTTTGAGAAGACAGAAGAAATAAGCTGGGAAAACATACTTGGTCAAATCTGGCTTTAGTTTATTCAGCGTTTTGGTCTTTTTTGTTATTGAAAAATGTCATCATAGAACAGAAATAAAAGGTCTGATAGAAGACTACTAAATTCATAGACATTGGGTGGATTTTTCAAGTATTTGTTTAAGGCTTCCTCACTTTTTCTTCTTCTTGGACATTTCTTGGTAAATGTTTCGCTTATTCTCCTTACCATGTTTTGTTTGTTTGTTTGTTTGTTTGTTTTATCCTTTGTCAGCTTGCCTGGCAGCATCCAGAAACTAAAGAGAATGTTAAAAATCAGGTTCTTAAATTGTTTACTTTTGACAAGGTTTTGTTTGTTTTATCCTTTGTCAGCTTGCCTGCAGCATCCAGAAACTAAAGAGAATGTTAAAGATCAGGTTCTTAAATTGTTCACTTTTGACAAGGCTCAAAGAACAGGAGTTAAGAAATAGTTTTGTGATAAGAAAAATCACTGACTTTTTCCTTTTTGCTCTTTTTCTTTTTCTTTAGCTCAAGCCTGGGCAGAATAGCTGCAGGGACAGTGACAGCGAAAGCGCCAGCGGAGAATCCAAGGGCTTTCACCGGAGCAGCTCACGGGAAAGACTCAGTGATGTAAGTTAAAAATCAAACAAAGCCACCAGATCACAAACCCTTGGTTCAGATCTGTTATGTAACTCTCTCCTCCCTTGTGATCACTTTGGGTACCTAAGCATTACAGATCACACTTTTTTAGTATATCTATATTTGAGCCTCATGCATGTGGCATTATTATAAAATGCAGTTTGACCGGGAGCCAGCAGTTAGCGTAATGGCTATGTCGCTGGACTCCCACATAGTCGACCACGGTTCGTGTCCCGGACCCGGTGGCTTAAAACTCACGCCGGGCGCGTGTGCATGCGTGCCCAAGATCCAGAGAGGAGAATGGAGTAGAAGGGATTACGGCGTGACCATCCCCCCTGGGGAGTGATTTCTCGCTTTCTGTCTCTATGTCTCTCTCTGTCTGTCTGGCGAGTGCACGCTCCCTACAGCGAAAATCTCTCCAAAAAAAAAA